AAGTTGTTAGAGAGTCTGGCCTCTTTTTTTTTTTTTTTTTAGAAACCATTTGTTTGTTAAGTACAACTTTCTAAGTACAACTTTAGGAATATAGAGGTTCTTCCCACCATAACCACCCTCCCACCCCACCTCCTCCTCCCTCTCCCATTCCCAGTCCCGTCCTTTTATACTCCCCTCTGTAGCTCTGAGCCCAGCAGAGTGCTTTCGGAACACATGGGTTGCACCAACAGTTCCTGGCTGCACCTCCCAGGTGCTACCGGTTGAGGGGTCAGCTGCTGGATGGCAGGGCCCCTCCCAGAAGCACCAAGGGCCTCACAGGCTGCGCCCTGTCCTGTCTGTCTTATTAAAGCAAGAGAGGGTGTGCACGATAAGGCAGGGTGGGACCCTTGACTCACAGACTCACAATTAGCAGGCTTTTGTCTTTGAATCTGACTGGAAGTGACTCATGGGCTGGAAAAAAACCTGTTGGAAACAAATGAGGGGGAAAAAAAAGGAGGTTAAGCCAGTGCTGCATTTCATGCTCAGATAAAATGCAGATCTGCTGTCCCATAAACGTTGACTACTGTACACTACCTCAGCCTCCTTCCAACAAAACCCAGGGGGACTTATTAAGCGCGACAATTCACTCATTTTCTCCAAGATTTTTATTAAATGCAATTTAGAGGGGATAAAGTTTCCTTCTTTCTCTTCACTCGAATGAACCCTAATTACCACTAGGGTGGAATAAGATGGGCTTCTTGAAGTCCGCCGCGATGAGTATTGCTTCCCCTTTAAATTAACCCGCCAGTCTCTTGTTCAAAAAGCCACCGGTGCACTTCCTGTCCACACAGACTTGGCTCCATGCATTTTAAAGAGCATTTATTAAGCACCTGGTGATGGGGCACTGACAACTATATAGCCTGTGCAGGACAAAAGACACAGCTTTGCCTGGGGGTGGGGGTGGGGTTTACTGTGGGGGGTGGGGAGTGAGTTTTGCACTAAGATTCTGTGCAAGTTAAGACTAACAAAAGCCATTTTGGACTGCTTGGGGGTTGCAAGTAACAAAACACCAATCAGGTTAAGCAGTAGGGAGAATGTGTAGGTGGTCACAAGTCATCCGTGGCAGGCAGCATGCACCAACCGCCAATTCCATCAGCCCCCACTGGGCTCTGTCCCTGCCCCCAGCCCTGCCTTCACACACGCTGGGAAACAGCTCATACACAAGGTTCCTAAATACACCAACTTGCAGTTTTAGCCCTGGGCAGAAACTGTGTTTTTTCACTTCCAGTTTCAAAATCCCCCCCAAGAAAACCTGTGTTGTGTCAGGTCTTTGCTCGCGGACTCCCTGCCTGCCACAAGGTTGGGGAAGGGCAGCGACTGGTACAGCTTAGGTCGGAGGCTCCCTGCCCACTCTCTCTCGGCGCCGACAAAGCGGCTCCTGCTGTAACTGCGGGTGTGGGGCGCCACTAAGCCAGGAGTGGAGGGGGAAGGGCTGAGGACGCCGGGCTGCCGGTGCGTTTTCAGAAACCACCGCAGGGGCTCTGGCCTCACCGGCCGCCCAGGACTGGACTCTGGGCAAGCCAGTCCCTTGCGAAATCTGGATTTCACTGAATCCTCACGACGGTCACTGAGGGGCCTGGCTGCTGCCCCCATTTCACAGATGCGGGCCTCAGAGACGTTGAGCACCCGGCCCACACTTAGGCAGCTAAGAAGCCCACAGAGCAGGATTCTGCTTCCAGGCGCTTCCAAGTCTCTGGGCTGCTGGCACCACCCAGGGCGCGCACCCACCCAGCTCAGCGGGGAGGAGAAGGCCGGCCCTGGGGGAGGGGCAGCCCGACACCGCGGGTTGGGCCGGGGTCCCACCCGGGCCCGAGGCGTGCAGGGATGCGGCCTGAGGAGCCCACGCCGAGCAGGGCGCGGGGTGGGGGGAGGGGTGCTCGGGGCCTGAATGCAAGGCCCCGGCACCGCAGGCAAGGCCACGCCCTGGTTGGGAGAGCGTCCCTCCAGATCCCGGCCTTTAACTGCAATCCCATTTAAGGACAACCCGGCCCGGTTCACACCTAGCCTTGAAGATGACAGATGGCTCTGTAGTCCATTTGCAGGGTGAGAACGGGAGCCTATAACTCTGCACCTGCACTGCCGGCTCCATAAACCAAGCAGATCGTGGCCCATAAAATGCCACCGCCGCTGAGGCGCAAAATCCAAGCGGTCACCTGGAGAAGGAAGTCCGCCACGGAGAGCGCCCCGGGACCCCGCACCCACGGGGGAGGCTGGGCACGCGGGTGGGGGATGGGCGCAGGCGGCCTCCCCTCCCCCCACCCCGTGCCTCCGCTCCCGGCTTTGTAGCCCTGCTCTGCCACGTGGTAAAAGCTTCCGGAGGGCGGGGGGTGGAGGGGGCGGCATCAGTTATTTCTGCCTGAAGAGTTTTTGACCAAACGTAAGCGTCGGAGGAGCGGGAGCCCGAACCCCCCACCCCGCCACCCCCCAAGCCCCAGCGGCTGCGACCCCGACGCGGCGGCGGCAGAGCCCCAGCGCCGAGCGGCTGCAAGGCGCCCCTCCCCCGCCGCGCCCGCGAGCCCATTTTCGCTTGGCCGGTCCCCGCGCTGCCGGATGGATCGCGCCCCACCCCCGCTCCTCTGCTCAGTCATTCAGACTTGGAAAGTCAATAACACGCTGACATCATCAGGGGTTTGTGTATTATTACACGGCTACTTTCCAGAGTACCTGGCATTCTCTAAGAGAGGAGCACTCTGGCTGCCCAAGAAAGGGCCCTGAACTGGGAGCCTGAAGGCCTCGGGCGGGGCGGCTGCTCGGAGCGAGGCTCGGTGCTCGGCGGGGAGCGTCTTCTGGGCACCAATTAGGAGCAGATCCTCAGCTTCTGCTGCGCTGGATGCAGATGCACTTTAGATATCGATACAGCCTTCATTGTGGCTTGGGGGCACACTTATAAATCATCCTTAAGTGACCTGTGTTTCTACCAGAGACATCCAGAAGCATTTTCAGTGATCTTTGCATAGGAAAAAAAGAAAGGCATCTTCTAGGCCCAGGAGCCCAAAGCTGATTCTTCTGAGCCTCTCGGGGTTTGTGTGTGCGAGTCTCTTATGTAATCGCCATCACGGCTGATTAGGTCTTCCTGGTCTCTTCCTCCCTCCAGGGCTGAGCTGGGTGGTTTGGTGGCTGTGTTTTTCTTTAAGCCGCATGCTGGGCAAACACACATCCATAGGAAACACATCCCAGATCCATGGTGCAGGCTGCTCCCCCAACGGCTCCCTTGTGCAGAGTGGCTCAGTTTTTTTGGGGGGGGGAGTAGATTAATTTGTTGTTAATTAAGACTCCTTTATGTTGCTACTCTGGCATTTCCTTTTCCTAGAACGAGTTTTTAAAGATAATTTCATGTATTTTAGATGATCCCCCCCTCCTCTTGGCTGTGGTACTTGAAACAGCTTATATAATGACTTAACTATCGATTACTGTTCTGTTCATACACACACCTGAGTTTAAAAAAACAGCCGTAAAACTTAGACAACGCTGTACCTTCTCTATTTGGCCAAACAGGCGATTTCTTTCTTCATACACACACACACACACACACACACACACACACACACAGGGCTGACTGACCTCATTTGAGATTTTCTTAGTATCTTAAGTGGCAAAAAATGGCAGCCAGCCCTGAGCTGGCTGCCCAGAGAAGTACAAGGGCAGAGCTGTTCTTGCCTGGCCCCATCCTACCCTGGGAACCTCAGGCCCCAGGCCCAGCGCCATAGGCAGTGATAGAACCCCCCCCCCCCCCCGCCGGAAGCGAAGCAGACTCGGGTCTCAACAATGTAACAATTTCCCTATGTGCACTTGATCGGTTCAGGAGAATTTGTAGTCGGTTATGACTGCTTCCTTCCAGATGGTCCGAAGGAAAACTCTCCCACCAGGCTTGCACTTCTAAAAATCACTTCCCCAGGCCTGTCCCTTCCCCGTTTCCCCTTTCCGAGGCGAGGCAGCTGGGGAGCCCGAGCAGCCAAGCAGGCCTTCCAGGCCATTCGGTGCATGCGTGTTCCTGTTCCTGTTCCGCCTGTGGAGACCGAAGTGGGGAGGAGGGGCGGTGCCCAGGACCTGCGCCAGGGGACGCCTCTCTCGCTTGGGGGTTTTCTGAGCTCATTAGAGACCAGTCTGCCTCTTTGGTTCTCCGCAGGAAGAGTCTCTTAAATCTCTAAGCACTTCTGTTTCCTAACCCAACCGACCCTCTGGCCCTTGCCCAAGTCCTGCCAGACACAACTGCCCGATCCAGGGGTCCTTGCTAAGCGAGGGTACCAGCTGCCGAGTTCAGGGTGCTGAGCTTTGAAACTTGGCAACGCGCTCGCCGCCCTGGGGTTTCTGCCAAGGCAGGGGAGGACAAAGGCCAGAGGGTTGGCTTGGGCAGAACCCCTGGGATTAGGAAGTTGGTGCTTTGGCCTAGCAGAGAGCCCTGAAATGAGAAGGAAGAGAAGAGAATTTGTGGAAAGGAACCATGTTGAGGATCTCCAAAGGAGCGCAGCGTGTTGGACAAGCATCATTGCCAGAGCATGCCCTGTGCCTCTCCAGTGTCAGTCCTCCTGGGCTGGTCGGGGGAGGAGGAGGCACCCGGACCTGGTGGGCGTAGAAGGAGTCCTGTTAGAGTGACACTGGCATTTCCCACAATCCTCTGCGGGAAAGGAGGGGACCCCCAGGGCCTTTACTGTCACGTGTTTGTCAGCTGGTTATACCGGGCGCATTTTCATTCACCCAGGGTTACCCCTTTGCGGGGGGGTCCCTGTGAAGACATTCAGCTACAAAGCCCTGACCCTGCTGTGGGACAGGCAGTGTCTGCACATGGATCCTTTGGCTTGATGAAGGCCACGGCATTGCTTTTTTGAATTATCTCTGGGCAAGATTTCCAATTGCTTGCATGCTGATTTCTTTTCTTTAAAAAAAAATTAAATAAAAAATATACAAAACACAAGCCAATTTTTTTATTATTAGATTCAGAAAATTAGATTCAGAAAATCATTCTGTCAAATGGTTACTGAGGTTTCTAAATGTTATTCTCAGTTGCTATGCACATCTCATGGCGGAATGTAACAAACAGTTCTTGAACCTGGGAAGGAACTTTGAGGAGCACAGGAGCAGGCCTTGCAATCCGGAGGCTTAAGAGCCAAATTGAGGTCCCATGTCTATGTAGGTTGGCCTGAATAGGCGTCTTTTAAAAATTGGATTAAAAAAACCCAGAGATTTCACGTAAAAATCCAATTTTTCCTGAAGAGTAAACAGCTTTGGGCAACACAAGCCACATCAGCAACCGGGTGGAGCAAGCAGCTGCCTCCTCTAAGCCAGCACAGCTCACTGCTGCCCACAGCTCTAACCTCTTCCGGTCCTCTCACTCCCCCAGGTAGGCGCACTCATTTAAGCTGTTTGCTTGGTGACAAAAAGCATTTGAGTCTTTGTATCCCTTCACAGGGCCTCTGCTTGAAACAGGCTTCTTGAGGCTTTTTCTGGCTGCCTCCCAGGGGACTCACAGGGACAGAACATTCTGCCAGGGTCGAAAGAAGCCATCCAGAGCCGAGGAGGTCTGAGCCTGGAGGCCATGGTGTTGGTACAGTTTCTATGAATCATTGGGTGCCCCAGATAATCTCTAGATAAGTGGATCGCACACTTTGGATCCATGTGGGTAAATATCCTCAGATGCAAGTCAGATACTATTTTGATGAAAATAAAAATTTGCCCAATAATTTATATATGTCATTTTACTTATTTACCTGAGGGGCAGAGGGGAGAGAGAGTGGGAGACATATAAGCAGCTCCCATCTGCTGGTCCACTCCCCAAATGCCCACAATGGCTGGGGCTGGCCCAAGTCGTAGCTGGCAGCCAAGAACTCAGTCTAGCTCTTCCATGTTGTTGCAAAGGATACAATATCCAATATTTCCCAAAAATTGACATTTTTGAATAAAACTACTACATCACTTTAAAAAATATATCTAATGGGATCCAAATAGCACAGTAATCAAATACCTATCATCATTCACTTAAAACATTCATGAACAAGCTCTTCTGTAATACTGACAGGTTTTACATCATTTTTATCCTTGAATGTATGTAGCTATCCTTATAGTTCATCAAAAAATAAACTTTAACTGTAAAATGGTGTGATTATATAACTCTCAGTGTTAATGTTTATTTAAAATATTTACCTCAATAAGGTCAGTATGGCTTTTCTTCTAATTGGTTTATGTAATAAACCAATATGACCTGTTGTTAGATGGAGGTAGGTTTGTACTAAGTTTTTAATGATTTATTTATTAATTTATTTGAAAGGCAGAGTTACAGAGAGGCACAGGCAGAGGGAGAGATCTTCCATCTGCTCGTTCACTCCTCAAATGGCTACAGTGGCTGGAGCTGGGCTGATACAAAGCCAGCAGCCAGGAGCTTCTTCCAGGTCTCCCACGTGGGTGCAGGGGCCCAAGGACTTGGGCCATCTTCTGCTGCTTTCCCAGGCCATGGCAGAGAGCTGATAGGAAGTGGAGCAGCCAGGATGAGCACATATGGGATGCAGGCACTGAAGGTGGTGGCTTTACCCGCTACACCACAGTGCCAGCCCAGGTTTGCACTAATTCTATTTTTCTTTTTTTTGTGCATTCATGCACATGTGTGGGTACACATATGAACACAAGAAGCATTGTCATTTAAGTAGGCAGTGAAAATAATTTTTTGAACCTCCTGAATCAGTTTCCAAAGATCTCCTGGCTTGTCAAAAATCAGTTGTAGTTAGATACTTCTTCAATCTTGTGGGAGCAAAGAGTGGGAAGCTACTTGATTAGCGAAAGTGTTTTTAGTCAACAAAGGGTCTGTGTTTGCTTCCTCTACACCTGTCCTTAGACTTAGTTCTTCCTTTTCTCATACTCTAGAGGTACTCATGACCAGGGCAGTGCAGCACAGTAAGATCTGATATGAGTGTGAGGGATGCACTTGTTCTGTAAAGTAGGAGACAGGGCACAAATTCAGGCCTGGGTTCTTGCAGTAAAACAGAGCTCCATGGAGGCCAATGCAGTCAGTGGTTGTAGTCATAATATATCCATTGTGCTCCAGTAGGAGGCACATTATATTCTGTGGCTCTTTCTAGGGTGCTCCCTGTCAGCTCCCCTGTGGGAACAGTGGAAGGGAACCTGGCTGTGGGATTCTGGCTCCTTGTGAAGTTGCTGATGGTTGGGCGCCCAAGAGCGTATGCAACATGGGCTTTTCAGGTATAACCTGGCTCTGGATGTCATGAGCTTGGTTCTTTCTTTTTGCTGGGACTCTAGTAGGAATAATCTGGGAAAGGCTGTGCTCTCCACCCCACCCTTATCCCTCCACCATATACTGGTTGAAAGAACAGTTCCTGTTCCTCCTCTGTTACGCTCAGCTGTCTGGCCCTCCTCCCCCACACGTGATCTCCCAAGTGTGTTGGTGTTGTTTTAAAGAAGGAAGCAAAAGGTGAGCCAAGAATTTCTAAAGGAGGTAGCTGACAGTATTCCAAGTGTGGCCTTTTGTTCACCACTTTCTTTCCTTGGTAGTTTTGAGAATTTGCAAGCTTGCGGTCTTTAAGTTAAAGAGTCATCTGGAAGATAAGCCTGTCTTCACTGCTCCTACCATTTGATCTGGTGTCACCGACAAGAGCATTGTGGGGACCTGGACTTTGAGAGTTATTTGTATAGTGATGGTGACGGAAGCTGCTGGAGAGGATGAGATCACTGGAGAGTGTGTTTAAGAGAAGAGAGCCAGAAAACAAGAGCCGGGGATCATAGCAGATCAGAGTAATGAGCTGGCAAAGGACATTATGAAAGGGAGTAGGTGTTGAGGCTAGCTGTTAGGATGCTCGTGTCCCACGTTGAAATGCTTGGGTTCAGCACTCAGCTCCGGCTCCTGACACCAGCTTCCTGCTAACGCAGACTCTGGGAGGCAGCAGGTGAAGGCTCTAGTAATTGGTCGCTGCTACACACAAGAGAGACCTGGGCTGAGTTCCTGGCTTCCAGCTTCGGCCTGGCCCACTCTGGTCAGTGTGGGCATTTGAGGAGTAAGCCAGCGAATGGGAGCTCTGTTTGTCTCTGTCTTTGAAATTGAGTGGAGAATGACGTGGAGGGAGAGCATAGCCAGTGAAGAGGGGAGAATGCTGGGAAAATGTTTTTGTTTTTCTTTGGCTTGCTTTTTTTGTTTTGTCAAGAGTGTTAAAGGTAATGGGAGAAGCTAGGAGAGAACAGACATAAAAGGCGTTGGACCAGCCCTAAGGAATTCGGTAGACATTTTGGCAAGAGCAGTTCCTGGGGGAGAAGTAGTAAGTGTGAAAGCGCAGAGGGTGAGAAGGGAAGTTGTGAGGCCAAGGAAGCTGTGCTGGGACACAGCTTTTTCAGGAAGCTCGATTTGTGAAGGAGGGATTGATATGCCACAAAGGAAGGGGACCACTTCAACCTGTTTCTAATGCTGGTGATGGCAGGGAGCCAGTGGAGGGGGAGAGCTGAAGCTGGGCAGAGAGTGAGGACACGTAACGGCCAGAGGCCACAGAAACCCCAGAGAGGCTGCGCTTTAGAGGGCAATGACATGTATGGTGTGCTGCAGGTCTCCTCCTCCTCTGTTTAAGCCCTGGTAAAGTCATTGAATATGGAACTAATATGCCTCCACCACTGCGTTCACAGGGTCACTGTCCAGTTTACCCCCTCGCAGGCAGACATGACACATGCTTAGTACAATATCCTATTTGTGAGTGAGTTCTTAACTCACTTTTAGTTCTCAGTAGGCATTATGATTAGCAAGTGAAATTTAAGGACTTAAGAGGGTACTTTGTGGAGAAACAATTAAAAGATAAATAGATTTTAGTTCAAAAGAGTTCGTAATCCATGCATCATTTTTTCATAATATACATTTTCCATGAACGTTTTGCAGACTTCTTGTATTGATGCAATAGAAAAAAAGTTAAGGTATTTCTTAGGCTCCATATGTAAGAGAAAAAAAAAAAAGGCACACAAACCAGGGGAAGGAGGGTGCAGAAGAGCAGTTCCTACCCAGTGTCAATCCTGGCCGTTAATTTGTCCAGATGCACTGTAGTTGAACCAATCAATTGGGAGACAGCCCAGGTGCATCATTAAACTGGTTTCACTTCCCAGGTCAGCGGTGCTCAATCAGCTGCACACAAACATGATGTTAAATTTCGTCTTTCCACAGAGCAATTCGAAGGTCCACACATTCGTGTATGCAGAATGCCCATGTTACAAACACACGGCCCAAAGTATCCTGTAGGGATAAAAAGAACTGCAAGCTCACAAGAGTGAAAAGAGATTCAGATGTTCTGTCCCCAACTCTTTAACATGTTGTTGCTTGCCAAGTGGCGTTCCCGGTGCTGCACTACCTTGTAATGTACCTCCCCATCAGTCTTCTGCAGGAGGAACCTGGGCAGCAGTTAAACTGTGTCTAAATACAAATTGCCTTGGTCTAGAAGACTGTTGGCTGCTTTAATTGACTCAATTTATTAGCCTTCCTCATCAGCACATTCTCTGAAGACTATGTACCCAGAACCTGAAAATTCCCAATTTTATTATTAAAAGAAAGTTGAGTATTTCAAAACTTGCTGTAGAATTCTACCCACAGATGTCTGGATAGAGTTATAGAATGACTGGCAGGATGCCTTCATCCAGTTTGGTTTTACTGGTCAAATGTCCAGTTGAAACCTGTGAGAAATTTGTCAAATGAAGAGTAAAGACCCCGGCTCTGTCCCAGCTTTTAATTTGAAAGAATCCTAATGGGCTGATATTGGTGTGGGGCAGCTCTTCAGCTGGTAACCAGGCCTGGTCAATTCTGCTGTCTCTTGCATCTATCTCCATCCTCTCCATCCCACCTCCTACAGCTCCTCCAGTCCTTCCCGCCTCACCTGTCAATTGCTGCAACAGCTCCAACTGGTCCCCCTGCTTCCAGGTTCTCTCAACTTCAATTCCACTCCACAAGTATCAAGGGAGTATTTTGTAAATCACCAGCCCTGCCACATCCTTCACCATTTCCCTGTTTAAATGCCCTGGGGGTGGGCATTTAGCCTAGCAGTTGAAGCACCTGTGTGTCATATAAGAGAAGCTGGGATGTGAAACCTGGCCCCGCTTCTGACTCCACTTTCCTGATAATGTAGACCCTGGGAGGCAACACTATTGGCTCAGGTAACTGGGTTCTTGCCACCTTTGTGAGAGTTAAATTGAGTCTCTCAGTTCCAAGGTTTGGCCTGTCCCAATCCCTGGCTGTTGTGAGCATTCAAGGAGTGAATCAGTGGATATTACTCTTCATTTGTCTTTGTCTCTCTGCTCTCAAAAACAAAAGTGCACGTGGAGCTGGCATTGTGCTGTAGGGGGTTAAGTTGCAGCCTGAAGGCAGTGCCAGCA